CATGTTTGTCGAAAGAAGTGTTGTTCGAATTAATACCATACGTATACAAAATACACAGCTTTTAAAATCTGAAATTACTGTTTTCCTTTTAAACAAAAATTATGTTATGTGCAACTGTAACAATCCCTCCTCCCCTGCCCCCCTTTATTCATCGTCATAAGAGTCTGAATGCTGTATCTTTAGCATTGCAGCATGGACTTTTATATATTGTACTACAGCACTATCTATATTAGCCAGTAGTTTGAGAGAGCTTTTTGCCCAAGGGAAAGCATAGTTTGCTGGGCCATATGTTGGGTCCAAAAGGGAGGAAGAAGGGAATGATTGGCAGAAGCCTGGCCTAGCTTCCTTCCCTTTCCCTCACTTCTACTGCAACAGTTGCTACAGCAGCTCAATTCACTTGCATTTTCAGTGTAGGGTCTGCTGCGGCTTCCATGGGGTGAAGGCTGAGATCTTTAGAATGCTCGTCTTCCGTTATTTTGAAACCTGCCAAGAGTTCCCTGAGGTACAGAAGTGAAAAGAGAGAATTAGTGATTTTTCAACTCTTTAAAAATCTCAATAAAATATGAATCAAACTTCATGGAACAAAGAAAAGGCTCTTCTCTAACCTGAAGGCTTTCTCTCTGCTCAGTGCCAAAGGCCTGCTGCAGACAACAGTGGCGTTAGAGCGTCTCTTTAAAACATGGCAAGAATCTTTTTATAATGGAAAGTGTTCAGCTACCTAAATATATGGGTCCCTACTATCTTCCCCTTTTTATTACTGATTTAGATATATGAGAGTCTTCTGTAATTATGGAATAGAGATTAGGCCACTATTTATTGTTGTTGTCCTTTAAGTAACAGGAATGCTATAAATTCTTTTTAGAATGATTCTTATGTTTTGGTTGCTGACCTGATTTTAGTCATTTTGCTCTTTCCCATGTTCATAATGTTTTATTTTTTTAAATGCAAATGAGAGTGTAATTGTTGAAGAAGAATCAGTATGAAAAAAATGCCTATCCAGTATCTAACATCATTTCACTGTTTATTTTAGTTCCAAGAAATACAATAAACAGTAAAATTGTTATCATGTTCTACATCAGTAGAAAAGAGGATGCTCATTAAAAAACAAAACTAATTTACAATACTTTGATATTTTAACACCACACTACAACATAGTCATCATGCAGCTAATCCCTGAGACGTGAAATTTAAAACCAGTCTGAAGATAGCGCTAGCAGTGCTGCATTTTATATTTAAAACTACAGCTGTTGCAGGCAATCCTGGTGTAGCCAACTGGGATGACCTAATAGGTCAGGGGTAGGCAATAATTTTTGCAGGGGGGACACTTCACGAATTTTGGCAGTGGTCATGGGCTACCCCTGAAGAAGTGGGGCCTTTGGTGGAAAGGGGCTTTTCCTTCTGGGCACGGCCCACCCCTGGCAAGGGGAGGAGACTTTGTGTGCTCTCCTAGCCACCAGGCCCTAATTGACCTGGAAGTGAAGGAGCACATGAACTCTTTGCCCCTTGCTCCGGAGTGAGGAGGGATGGAGGGAGAGAGAGCGGCAGCGCACAGAGCGCACCTGCCAAGCCCAAGTGCACCCCACCCCACAGCACCTCAGAGGGGCATGCGGCGCCTAGAGGGCACCAGCTGTTTTGAACAACTGGTGTTTCCCTCTAGTGCAGGGGTGGGCAAAAGGGTCTCTGTGGGCTGGATCCGGCCTGCCAAGGGGGTGGATCTAGGGTTGCCAGGTGTCTGGTATTGACCCTGACCGTCCAGTATTTTCGCCGTAGACCAGGCAAACTCCACACCACCTTGATCTCACTTTTCCGCCCTTGTTCAACTCAACACCTCACCTCTCCTTCCTTCCCTCTACCCCAGGTCTACGTCTGTCCTATGATCCCCTCTGAAACACAACTAGCAAAAAACACGACCCAGGACCACTCCTGGCCTACTGATTTCAATGGGTGTTAGGCACTTTTAAAAATCCCATTAATCTTAGCATCATGGAATCATAAAATACTAGAATAGAAAGGTACCTCGAGATGTCATCAAGGCCATCAAGGCCAGTCCCCTGCCCTCACAACAGGGCCAAGCACCATCTAGATCAGGGGTGGGCAATAATTTTTGCTAGGGAGCCATTTCACAAATCTTGGAAGTGGTTGCGGGCCACCTCCTGAAAGGGCAGGGTCTTGGGCAGAAGGGGTGGGACTTTGGAAGGGGGTTATTCCCTCTAGGTTATTCCCTCTAGGTGCGGCTTGCCCCTGGTGAGAGGAAGAGACTTCACACGCTCCCCCGCCCCCAGGCCAATCAGGGCCTGGGGGCAGGGAGCTGCGTGAAGCTTCCTTCGCCCTGTCCTGGCCCTGCGAGGAGCCCATGGCACTTCAAAGGGCAGGGGGAGCGTGCCAAGCCTCTTCCAGAGTATGGGTGCCTAGTGGGAAGGGGGGGAAAGAGGGCTCCCCCACCCCCAGACCAATCATGGTCTGGGAGTGAGGTAGCCCCACCCCTTCCTATTTAGGCCCCACCTCTTCCTGTTTAGGTCCCGTTCTTTCTGGCGTGGCCCAGGGCTACTTCAAGAAATTTTGAAGTGGCCCTCGTGCAAAAATTATTGCCCACCCCTGCTCTAGTGCCAAGCGCCCCTGGTCGGGGAAGGAAACTGCAAACTCCCCTAGGGTATGTCTACACTACCACCCTAGTTCGAACTAGGGTGGTAGTGTAGACATACCCTAGGGGAGTTTGCAGTTTCCTTCCCCGACCAGGGGCGCTTGGCACTAGAGCAGGGGTGGGCAATAATTTTTGCACGAGGGCCACTTCAAAATTTCTTGAAGTAGCCCTGGGCCACGCCAGAAAGAACGGGACCTAAACAGGAAGAGGTGGGGCCTAAATAGGAAGGGGTGGGGCTACCTCACTCCCAGACCATGATTGGTCTGGGGGTGGGGGAGCCCTCTTTCCCCCCCTTCCCACTAGGCACATTTGCAATTCTGACTTGTCTAATCTGCATCCCTTTTCCGGAAAAGGGGTGCAGTGTATACACAGCCACTCAGTCTCATTGCAATAATCTAAAGATGTTGGATGTCAAGAAGTTTTAAACATTAATTAACCCAAATCTTTAAAGCGTGGAAGAATTTATTACAGTTGTCTAAACATCTTAGTAATAATAGGTAACATTACCATTCACAGAACAGTGAGTAACGCCATTAGAAATACTTGGTACTCCTATTTGTTGTGTAAAGCTATTTATTTTGCTTAAGGAGGAAGAATATAATCTTACCTTGCCTCACACGAGTCATTACTTTGACATGAGGGTAAGTATAAGAAAGGCAGAGACAGAAGTTCTTGTTTTCACCAGATTTGCAAGCCTCTAGGACTGTGATCTCCAACCTTTTTTAGCACAAGATCACTTTTTCAATTTAAGTCAGTCCAGGATCTACCTCAAACCCAAATACTCCTGCCCCAACCCTTTGCTGAGGCCCCACCCTTCTTACTCTGTTAAGATAGGGTACAGAGAAGGGGGACAGAGTGGCATCAGTGTCTCCCTTCCTGTTTCCCCCACTCTGCGCAACAAGCAGGAGGCTCCCAGCGAGCAGCTCTGGGCAGGAGCAGCAGGGCAGTGCGAGGAGGGGCAGTTGAAGTGCAGGAACTTGGTAGACTTCCAGCCAAACCAGTCAGAAGTTCCAGGATCTACCGGTAGAGCCTGATCTATTGGTTGGTGACCACTGCTCTAGGAAGACCTATCTTCTCTCAGACAACTTTGGGCCGGATCCTAAACTGTTCACATAGTAAAATTGACTTCAGTGGAATCAACACCAGCCAAGGATCTGGACTAATGAATGTTTTCCAGTTAAACCTAGGCCATGTGGATGCCCATTTCTCCTTCAGACAGAGAGAATTCTGGTGACATTAAGATCTAGTTGTTAATAAAATGGATGTGGTGATGAACATTATTAAGCATACAATTTCATCATGGAGATCACCGATTCTATGACTGGAAGAGATCTCTTTGACTTCATCTGTGCACTGCAGCAGAGGTCCCATAGCTGTCAGTGACCCCTGCAGAGCTTGGACTTCAGCCACCCCCCAACAGACAGGTCACGGGCTTCCATGAATTTGTGTTTATTGCCTGCAACATGTCAGTGTCTGTACTAAAAATAGCCATAATGAAATCTTAACTATTAGCATTATTACACGTGGTGATGCCCACAGGTAGTCCCACAAATTAATTGCAAAATCATAACTCCAGAATTCAGATTTCTGCATCAAACCCATCATCAATTGTACCTAAAATGTCATACACATGAATTAACACATTAAGATGTTATTAGTGGATATGACAATCTGTCCTACTTCCCTCTAGGGACTGGGTGATGGCTTATGGATATATTAATCTTTTTGATTTTGGCATATATTATAACACGATGGATGTGTGGTGTTTAACAATGTTCAGTGCCTGCTGAGATTTTACTAATAAAATAAGAAGTGTATCCACATGGGATGTCACATTTTGTGTATGAATTTGCATTATTGCTCTGTCTTTCTCTAGGTCATGCATGTGTCACTGATTCTTACAGATATTAGTGTGTGGGGAGCCATGAAAGTATTTTTCAGTTGTTGAGAAGCTCAGACTTCTGGCAAGATTTCTGGGAAAGATGGGAAGCCAGTTAATCTGAGTCCCTGCAGGAACCAAAATGTTTTATAGAAAGGATCTGTAACAGTATACCACAATAGCATGTAAATTAATTGACAGCTGCCTTACTTGTTAGTTGTACTGGCCCTTCCATTACCATATTTGCGAATGTTAATCTGCAGCTTTTGAAGGACAAAATTAGAAGTTCTGCTGTCCTGATGTCATCCAGAGATCTGGCTCAGTACAAAAGGAAACAGCATCTTCTGAGTTTTGTTGCTACTATAATGACTGACATAAGTGTGTAATGTACATTGAGTGTTTTTGCTCCTTATAGTCAACTAGCAAAAAGAATTCACTTGTAAAGAGCTTCATGTTTATAGTGTTCTGCATTCCTTACAGGCAGAGTTTGATCAAAACCCTGACTCCTTGTATTTTAATGATGGCCAACGACGAATTGACTTTGTTTTGGTGTATGAAGATGAGAGCAAAAAAGAGAATCACAAGAAGAATGTGAATAAAAAGCAAAAAGTAAGATGTTTCTGTTTCACATCATAACCTGTATGGAAAAAATAATTGAATTTTCAGTTCAGAGACCAATCTGGTGGCTGGAGGAAGGAGAGGAATTGGTGTGGATTGACCTGAAACTGATTTTTTTGTTTTTTGGTGTCTCACTAAACAAAAATAAAACAAAACACAATTTTTCAGTTCAAACATAATATTTGACCCAAACCAAAATTTATTTCATTTTTTTCCATTTTGTTTTGGGCCATTTTGGCATTTTCACCTTTTAAAAAAAATTATCTAAATTTCAAAGCAAAACACTACATTGAAATGAAAGGGCAAAATGAAATGTTGCAAAAATGTTTTGATTTTTTTCAAATCTTCCATTTTTCTTTTGGCTGAAACTATTCCCCAAAATCAATTTGGCAGATGGTATCACTGTTCCCGAAAATGGCACATTTCGGTGAATTTTCTATTTGCCAAAAAAAATTCACCCAACTCCATAATTCAGAATGAAGCCAGACTTGTATTTTTAAGCCTTACATATTATAGTGTTCACACTGTGTAGGGGTTGACAGAAAAAAATCTCCTATTGGGGTCCCTTTCCCCATCTCATTCTGGAGTACCAGAGTTATCAGGAGAGTGATCAGCGGTTCATTTAGTGGGTCTTTACTAGATTCACTAAATTGACTGCTGGTGAATCTATCGCTGCAGCATCAGTCCATCCTGTAGTGGAGACAAGCCCATAGTCATGTATTCTAGTGACACCATATCTTCCTTCTCTTTGTCTCCCTTTCCCAGTATTTTCTTCTCCTGAGACACCCCAGACTGATACTCCACCATGATCCCCTGAAATACATTGGCTTCCTAGTTACACCAGCCTCTTGTTAGTGCTATATTAGGACTAGTGCTATTGAACTGCTACAGAGAAAGGTCAAGATTGTTATTTAATTTTTTCAATAGGCCCAACAGCAGATTTTCTTGATAAAAACACCTAGAACAAGGAGAACACTGCTAGCCATATTACTTCAGCACATAGGCTTCGTAGGTCACATTTTAATCCTGGATGCTTTCATATTGTCCGTTGCACTTTAACACAATACTTCACTCTTGTGTCTCAGCAACATTTCTCTTTTAAATTTTTGAGTTTTAATAGACTCGGCTGGAGATGGACAAGGATACAACACAACACCGAAAGCAGCAGGTTTATAAACAATGATTTGCAGTCGGGAAAGGGGAAGTAGGAGTAAAAAACCTTGTAGCAGGATGGGTTGATTTTCATCACACACTATTGCAGTTGGCATCTCTGAAGGAGCCATAAGGAATGTCATTCATGGTGTTTAATAGAGTACAACAGTGGGTGGATGTAGCTTTACACATGGTCACAAGTACCAAAAATAAAATGAAGTGGAGAGGTAATTAAAAACAAAAAGCTGCCCTTTTGGAAACACTGTTGTATCAATTACATTTTTATGTTTTTGTCTGTCATTTTTGGTCAGAACCCAAATGTATTTTTAAAGTGAGTGTCTTTTCCAAATAGCGATGAAAATTGAACATGTGCAATAAATTAGTATTTTATTTTGTGAATAAAATTAACTCTTGCATTTTCAGACTAATAAGATTATCAGTATTATGCTAGGTGCTTTGCGTCCATAAAAGAAGGTGCAGTCCCTGTCCTGAAGGGATTAAGGCCCCTGTCCTGTCGTTTGTTGTATGTGCACAGACTATTGTGCCTCTAGACCCAGTAGGGCTCTGTGTATGCATGGTGAAGTACCTGTGTATTCATGGGTACACCTATATGAACTGCAGACACAAAAAGGGAGGATCATGGGATACAGGTGCACAAGATAGAGGCTAGCCCCTTTTTTATAATTTTATTGGTGAGATAATCTGACGGAGTATGGAGGATGTGTTTTCTATTTTACATTCACACACACACACACACTATTTCCAATTACTTATCAACTCTGCCACTATCAGTCTATTATGTTTTGGTGGGAGTCACAGCAGAAGTGGGGGTCCAAGAGAGTTTTGAAACTAGAGAGTGTAGTGGCCTTTAGAAAAGGGGCCTCAGGCTTTGTCTACACTGCGGGGTTTTTGCGCAAGAAGCTTTTTGCGGAAGAGATCTTCCGCAAAAAGTTCTTAAGCAACAGAGTGTCCACACTGCATGGATACTCTTGCGCAAGAAAGTTCTGATGGCCATTCACAGAATGTCCATCAGAGTACCTGTGCTTTTTCTGATAGGCTCTTTTTGAAACCGCTGTTGAGTATCCACACACATCTTTTTGCACAAGAGCTGTAGCGCAAAAAGGAGTTATTCCTCATGGGGAGAGGAATTACTCTACTGGCAAAAGCCCTCTGTCCTATCAATTTACTGTATATTTATTTATTTATTTATTGTGCAAAAACACGTTTGAGGTATGGACTCTCTGGGTCTTTGTGCAAAAACCCTGTAGTGTAGACATAGCCTCAGTGGATAGGGACAGTGTGAAGGAGCACGGATGTTATACAAGACAAGGACAAACATGCTAAGACGGGCAGCAGTAGAGCTGAAGAGATGGGTGGTGATACAAAAAAAGAGACAAAGATAGAGAAGTAGGGAGAGTCAGAATTGTGCGGGATCATGAGGACCAGAGCAAGTAGCTTGAATTTGATGTAGTTGTAGATAGAGAACTAGTAAAAGGATTCAAAGCTTGTGTTGATACAGACAAGACAATAGATGAGTGAAGGGAAGGAGCAAGAAGACAGTGAAAAATTGAGGCGGAAGAAGAAGAAAGTAGAGAAAAATGTACTGATGTTTCCCTTTTAATGTGGGAGGTTTTTATATTCTGAAATCAGAAGAAGGGAGTCATCAGAATCCTGTTGTGAAATTCAGAAATGTGGACTCTTTTCCCTAAATGTTGAAAAACACTTCAAATATGTTGTCATTGATTTAATAATACACTTTATTTATCTGTTAGTCAGGAAATAGGATTCTGACAGCTTTAAAAGGTGAGAGTTTTCTGCGTTTGTGAGTATAGGATTTACCTGTGCCATCCTTCCCTTGTAAACTCTGTTGTTCACTTTCTGCGACTAGACCTCACTTGTTTATTAGATGTCTGGGGTTTGTTAGAAAAAAAAATCTCTGCTGAAGTGTGCACTATTGAAACCCAGTGTTCAAAGGCATCTCCAGTGCGTAGATACTTGTTTTCATATCAGAGCACCTGCAGTGCAGAAGGTATTGAGGCCAAAGCCTGCCACACCACTTCATTTTATAAGCAAACTAGCAGGTTTATTCAGTCAACCTTAACTCAAATAAGGGAGGTGTGGGGGGGAGGTGGAAAATAAAAGGAAAATGTACAGGCTTTATTTAAATGATTGTATATTTCAAAAAGACAGAGGGATGCCCCCTACCACAGGGGCTGTTCTGGCCAGGCAGGAGAACCCCTGCCCATGGCATGCCCCAGGCTCACTGGACAAGTGCTGCTCCAGCCCCCTCTTAACCATTAACGTCCCTAGGTAATAGGTTCCTATATAAGAAAAAGTCTCTAATATCAGAACATCTGGTAACCCTGACCAAGGTCCTGATTCTGCTTCTCCAGCCACTATGCCAGGCTCATTGAATGACCAATAGGCCACACTTTCTACACCCCAGTGTAGGACAGTTGTTTAGCTGGGAAGATGGCAGAACTGAATGATCACTGAAGGAATCTGAAATTGAGAAAGTCAGAATGGTCAAGGGATTTGCACCAGAGTCATTTTGCAGCGTGACAGCTCAGTAGTAAAGTGTAACTGACTACCCATGTTAATTTGTTTGCATGAGTAGCATGATTGGATAAAAAGGAGGCAAAATAAAAACAAGACTAGGATACTTGGAGAGAGGAAACAAGCGCTTTGGGTTCTCGATTTTGTCCCTGTAATAGGACATGCTCTCTTACTGCTCTGATGCTTCCTGATAGCCTATCTGGCTTGTCACATAGTCAGATGCCCCTTCCTGTGATTGCCCAGTCTGATTTCCTGCTCTCTCGCTGAGTGGTTTCTCTCATGCTTCTGAAGCTGCAGCACTTTCCTCTTCATGGATTAGCCCTCTCGCCAAGTCACCTTGAAGTTTCCCCCCCATCCAGAGTGTTATCAGGCTCCATCCTCAGTGTCCCTGCCAGTCCACAAACAGGGTGCACCTAGCATGCCACTTCTGCCAGAGCTTGTAGGAACTCCTAAGGCCATACTCTACACCAGGTTCCAATCTAGGGAGCTGAACCCAGTAGCTCTGGTCTTTATTCTCCCAGCCCTTACTGTTCCTTCCTTGGACTTCTTGCTACCTTATTGTTACAGGTTCCTACTTACTTACCTCTCTCCCCCAATATCAAGGAATGTGACTGTGTATATTCTGTTGCCAACCCAACCTGTTTCTTCCCAGCTAACTTACTCCCAAATTAAGCCTCATTGCATTCTAGCTCCCTTCCAGGTGGAGCCCATGGGTAATTGGCCTCTCTTGCCTATATGAACCCCATCCAGGATTAGTACGGGGTGAATGTCTTATCATAATTTATTCTCCCCAGATGTGGTCCCACATACTGTGACTTTGCAGCAGAGTCAAGATGAAAGTGAGCAATGCTAAAATACAGTGAAGAACTCCTGTTCTTGTAAGCTTTCCAGACAGATTTGTTTTGTGTAAGCATCCGAACTGGAACTCTGAGTCCTTTGAAGTTTATCTGAAACTAACATTGCAAGCACTGTTAAATATCAAAACAATTTAGAACTAGATTCCAAACTCCAATGGAGGCGGTACATTGCAAGTACATTTTAAAAGATATCTGAGGGTATACTCAGCATATCTGAGATTCAAATTTCTCCCACTAACTGTGAATTTAAATCTTCACAATTGATGTGCTCAGTTTAGTCCCCATGGGCTATTGTCATCTACAAGTCACTAGAGTTTCAGTAAATGTTCCAATATCTTAAATAGCTTGTAGTTGAAAACTAACGAGGCAACAATAGAAAAGTAAATTCAAAATAAATTAACAGATAATGTGGTTTTAGTCCCAATACAACTCCTATTAAATTATATTAAAAGACTCTCATTGACTTCAGTGGGAGTTGAATCCAAACTGTAGTTTCTCGTGGTAGCCGATAAAGATAAAACAATTCATGCTTTATAAAAAATAATGTTAAAAAATCTTAATCCAGACAAAAAGAAATAACCCACAGCAAATATTGGATATTTAGCAGTTTCTACAAAAAGGTTTACAGATAACTTTAGACTAGCAGGATAGGAGAGGTTTGTTTTCATAAGTAAACAAACCTTTTCTGAATTGTTCCTGCTAATCAAATATAATTAATCTAATTTTATTTAGCCATCTGACAAACAGAAAAATGTTTTGAACAATTTAAAAAAAAACAACACAGGTTCTTCCATTGTTTTTTAATGTGTCATGCCTGAATAAAAGGAACAAAATCTGTTATTACAATAAACACTGCAAACAAATATTGATATTTCAAGTCCATTTTATGCCATTTCTTGGGTGTGCAAGAGGCACAAAACTACATAAATAGGCTGTGTGCCAAGATGATCTATGTTGCAGAGAGATAAGACAGAAGAAAGAGCCCTTTAACTTAAGGTAGAAGAACAACTACACCTACAGTCTGGCAGAGAGATATGTTTGGCAGGGTTGACAGTAGTGAGGAACTCCTGGGAATAAGGTCCTTATTCATGTGTTAGCCCTACTTGAATCCTGCTCTCACTTTCTCACCTCCCATACTGGGTCAAGAGAGCAGTCAGGAATTACAAATGGGGAACTTCATGAGGAGGTGGGTCCAGAACTAGTTTCTTTCCAAGTACAATTATTACAAATTATCATTGACAGCTGGGATGAAGGGCAGTGTTGCCAATCCCAAGTGTTCTAAAATCATGAGTCAGTCCTGCAGAAATCATGAGATTGGCACCTTTTATGGTATATTCACTTTACATTCTCTAGCTTTTAGTCTTGCAACCATGAGCAAAATAATCACTTTATGCCAGAAGCAGCAGCTTTGTTAAAAAAAAAAAAACCAATTTTGCAAGACTCCCAGTAACACCCTGAGAGATGGCAATACTGAGATTGGAGAATTGTCTCTTCACTGGGAGAAGCTTTAGGTAGTCTGAGCTCAAGTTCTCTTGTCTTGCTGACTGACTGAGATCCCTCTATGATGTTCTGAGGAGCAAAGTGTGGAACTCATTGCCATGATGACGTTATTGAAGAAAATTGCTTAGCAAGATTTGAAATAAGAATTAGACACAAGTAAATAAACACAATATTGACATTTACATCATCTAGAAAAAAGGCTTTATTTTTGTCTGTGTGTGTCATGCATTAGCTAAATGACAGCAGGCATCAAAAAGAAATATGGCAAAGATGAGACATCATAAAAATATTAAAATAATAAGTGGTATGAAAAAGATAATTCTATTTTCCATGTCCCATAATGCACAAACAAAGGGATGTATATTTAATTAATATGTATATGAGAAAATCAAAACCAGTAAAAGGAAATACTCTTTTAACACAGGTGATTACACTGTAGAATGTGTTACCACAAGAAATCGCTGAGGCCAGAAATTTAACACGTACTTACAAAAGATTGGATATCACAGTTAATGCTAACAGCAATTTTTGAAGGGATTTCAAACCTCAGGGTTTAAACCAATCTCTAACTATTAGAGATGCAAGAGGCATTTGCCTACATTTGCCTTTTGTGAAGTTCTTAGACCTTACTCTGAAGTATCTGGTACAGACCTCCATCAGAAACAGGAGAGCAGGTGGATCTTGGGTCAGAACTAATATGTCAATTCCTATGTTCCTATTAAGGTTCTGATTCTGCTTCCATTTTAACCAATGAGAGTTTTGCCGCTGGTGGTTGGAGCAGGCTTGAACATTAAATACAGATGTTACAGCTGGAAGCACGGTATCAGACTAGGTGGATCTAGGCTCTTTGTAGTTTTGATACTGGAAGTCTGTTAAGCACAGAACAATATAAACAACTAACAAAATGTTCCAGGGTTTGAAAACAAATGGTTGCACTTAATAACCAAGAAGACTAAATATGTGATCTTCATCTAGAATAAGTGATCATTTAGGTGACCTAGCTAATAAAATATAAATCTCTTTGTAAGTTCATTATTTTGTTCTAGTCTGTGGTGTTTTGGTTTTCTTTGATTTTGTGTTTTGAGGTGTTCAGAGAGGAGAATTGAGCATCAGAAACAGATTTCAGATTTTTGAACCTTTGGATAGACTGCCAAGTAAGAGACACTATGTCAACAAAATTCAAATTTTTAATGGATTTCAACAAATTGCTGTCATTGTACACATCCTGGGGCCAGTAGCTGCCCCGTTTGCCAACTCCTTTGTTACATGAGGGAAGGGTATGATATGAAAGATGGCTCTCTTCCCCACCCCACCTCGTAGGGACACTGATAGCTGCAGGGACAATACTACTATCCCTAGAGATACCAACTTTTTATTTTTAGGATGGTGCATTTGTGGATTATGAGGTTGGTGAGGGTTTAGTTAGAATCGTAATGTGAGTTTGTCATTATTGTGGAAGTCAAATGGAATTGCAGACTATTGGCAAGAGAATAGGCATTGGTTGTCATAGCAGAATTTAGAGGTGAATAATATTTGCCAGTGAGTAACACAAGCTACACACAAAGATGGGATTCCCTCCTTGATTAAATTAGATGAGGAAAGGAAAAGAAGAACAGAAATGTTGATGACTGTTGTCACAGAGCCAAAATCTGGGGATGACTCATCTATGTGATGTTTCATACTAAGAACGTAGTTATGCAATTAATCATGCTGTAAAATAATAATATAATGACATTTATTTAAATATTGTGGATGTTTTCTCCTTTTTAAATATTTAATTTGTGACACAATGCAAAATGAACAGTACTTACTTTATTTTTAGTAAAAACATTTGCACTGTAAAAACAAAAGAAATAGTATTTTCCCATTACAAGTACTGCAGTGCAATCTCTTTATCCTGAAAGCTGGATTTACAAATATAGAATGATGTACAAAAAAAATAACTGGATTGAAAAATAAGAGTGTAAAACTTTAGAACATACAAGTTCATTCAGTCAGATTTCTTGTCCACTCCAATAAACCAGTTTGTTTACATCTGCAGGAAATAATGCTGTCCACTTCTTGTTTACAGTGTCACCTGAAAGTGAAAACAGGTGTTTATATGGCTTTGCAGTAGCCAGCATTGCAAAATACTTATGTGCCAGATGTGTTAAAGCTTTGTAAGTCCATTTCACTTGCCAATGGCACACTTCACGTGCCATTATAGAGGACAAGCATCCATGCTGCTAATGTGTTTTGCTGAATAATGGTCCAAAGTAGTTTGGATCAACACATGTTCATTTTCATCATCTGAGTCAGATGTACCAGCAAAAGGCTTATTTTTTAAAATCTATTTATTTATTTATTTTGTGGTGGTGGTGGTTTAGGGAGTTTTTTTAGTTTTCACATCAGTGTTGCCTTTTCAGACTACCAAAGGCATGCTCCACACTTCTCCCTCCGATTTTGAATGGCACTTCAGATTCTTAAACCTTGGTTCAAGTGCTATAGCTCCCTTTCAGAATCTGATATTTGGACCTTTTTTGTGTTTTGGCAAATCTGCAGTGAAAGGGTCATCACCAGAGATCACTATAACATGAAATAAATGTCAGAATGCAGGTAAGACACAGAGCAGGAAACAATTTCCCCCCCAATAAGTTAGTCACATAATTAATTCATTTTTTTTAATGAGCATCATCAGCATGGAAGCATTCCTCTGGAATGGTGGCTGAAGCACAAAGGGCATATGAATGTTTAGCATATCTGCATTGTAAATACTTTGCAATGCCTGCTATAGATTACCATGGGAATGTCTGTGCTCACGTTCAGGTGACATTATAAATGAGAAGCAGGCAGAATTATCTCATACAAATATAAATAAACTTGACCAGGGGTCCTGTAGCACCTTATAGACTAACAAATGTATTGGAGCATAAGCTTTCGTGGGCAAAGACCCACTTCATCAGTTGCATCTGATGAAGTGGGTCTTTTCCAATGAAACCTTATGCTCCAATACATTTGTTAATCTATAAGGTGCTACAGGACTCCTTGTTGCTTTTGCAGATCCAGACTAACATGGCTACCCCCGATACATAAATAAACTTGTTTCTCTTTGGGATTGGCTAAACAAGAAGTAAGACTGAGTGGACTTGTTAGCTCCAAAGTTGTATATTATTTTCTTTTTGAGTGTTGTTAATATAATAATCTGCACTTTCATGATAAAGAGATTGCACTACAGTACTTGTATGAGGTAAATTGAAAAAAACTATTTATTTTGTTTGCCACTCTTGCAGTTCAGATATTTTTAATAAAAATATAAAGTGAGCACTGTACAATTTGTTTTCTGTGTTGTAATTGAAAATGTAGAAACAAGTCAAAAATATTTAATACATTTCCGTTGGTATTCTATGGTTTAGCAGTACGATTAAAACTGAGATTAATTATGATTAATTTTTGTATTAATGTGTGAGTTAAATGTGATTAATCCACAGTCCTACTAGATATAGATCAAGATCTGAACTTTTGGTTTGCCCCACCTGTAATTGTAAAATGTGGGCTAAAGAATGAGTGCCTTCAGCAATCCAAGAGAACAGGTATTCCACATAACTACGGGACATTTTAAAGTGTTATAGCTCTTAGAAAAAAATAGAAGATTAGTGGTTAATAAAGCACTGATTGCCATAGCAACTACAGTGTAGATATTGATGACACTAACTTATCAGCTGGGTAGTTCTTCACTTTTGTTGAATAATCCTGTTCCTTTATTTTCTTTACACAAATTAAATAAATCAGCAAACAAAGATGTTTTACTACTTGCATTTGATTTTAACAGCGGAAGAGGCAAGCATATGAGTCTAATCTGATAAGCAACGGCTTGCAACTTGAAGCAACCAGATCGGTGAGTATCCTTTCTTGTGTCTGCGCTGTTGTGGCTGAAGGTGGAATTTGGCTCAATACGGGAAAGGAAATGAAGTGTATGACTGAACTGTAGCCTCTTCCTCTTTTTTATTCCTATAATATCAAGATGTCATGGTCAGGAGAGCCCCCCGCACCCACCTCATTCCTTCATTTTGTCTAGGAATAGGAATCTGCGTGGTAGTCATGGATCTGTCACTAACTTGCTATGTGGCCTTGGGAAAAGTCACTTATGCTTCGTTTCTATTCCTTCATTTGCAAAGCGAAGCTTGTTCTTACCTACTTCACAGAGAGGTTGGGGAGATTATGGCTGTGTCTAGGCTACAAAGAAAGTCCGAAAAAGTTACGCAAATTGCAGTTTGCATATCTGCAATTTGCATATCTTTTTCTGCTTTTCTTCCAGAAGAGGCTTTTCCGACATTTGGCCCATCCACACTGGGCCAAATGTCGGGAAAAAAAGCCTCTTTTGGAACATTCCTTCTTCCTTGTACAACGAGTTTTACAGAGATGCCGAAAAATGTATCTGCTTTTCCATTTTTTTTTTCGGAAAAGCAAACACATTCCTTGGATGCGGCAATCTAGATGTACCCTAAATAGTTTGTTCAGCACATTGAAAACATAAAGCCCAATAACCATTCTAATGGGCCAATTCTTTACCCTTGTGGCAGATAGGAATTGTGAAATGGGACACCAGGGGCTGGGAAGAATTGGCCTAATGAAGGAGCAGCAGTAATAACCCTGTAGGCTGATGCTCCTTGCAACCCCCGGCATAGTGTGAGTAGTTGTTGCTCTCTACACGAGGGAGATTCTGGGCTGCAGACCAATCTGTCGGCAGCTCTGGGCAGGCTATTACAAGATGAAGCAACCACTAGAGATATTCTCATTTCCTTGCGGGCTGTGTTAGCCACTGCAGTACCCTAAATCCAGGATGAATAACGATGGATCTTCCCCTCCTTGCTTCCTGGGCTACATCTTCTGTGCTGTGGCTCCCAGGAGAGGCAGTACAGAATCTGGCACAAAGTATTTTTATTATTATTTTGTAACACAATGAGCTCTGGAGCAGGGAGGGCCCTCTACCACTTCTTCCCAAATTGGGTTTAAAATCCACATCTTTAGGCTTTGGATTAGATAGAAACCTGAAGTGGAAGCTCCACCTGTGTGTCCCAGCACACAATTTGGTCCCCAAACTATAGCATGCACCTCAACATGCAACAAGGAGAACTGTTAGGAGAAAATCCAACCCAGATATATTGCTACTTGTAAGTGGTGCATTGTAAATTTGTGTCCGTTTTGGTAATCCTGCCGTGCTCATGGTTCAAAATAGCAAGTATCCTGAGGATTAGATCTATAAACAGCATTAAGAAATCCACATAGGTAATGTGTATTAAAATGTAAATTGCTTTGTAAAACATTTTGCAGAGATGTTACTTTTAAAGCAACAATTTAGTGATCTTTTTAAAATGCCATTCTCTCCAGAGAGTTCTCATCTGCCCTTGGTGCCTTCACAGACGTTAATGAGATGTTCACACCGAATTGATCTCCTAAGGGTTTCTAAGAGGAAGGAAAATCTGTGTTGCTGAAAAGTATATGAAGAGTTCTTTGCTTTCATTTTTTGCATATATATTTTTAATATTCTTTCACTTTAGGTCTTAGATGAAAAACTTATTTTTGTAAAAGTGCACGCACCTTGGGAAGTGCTATGTACATATGCCGAGGTTATGCACATCAAATTGCCTCTGCAGCCCGATGACCTGAAAACCCGAGATTCAGCTTTCAACTGGTTTAGTCGATTCTTCCAAGTGGATGAAAATATCATCAAACCAGAGCAAGAGTTTTTCACTGCCCCATTTGAAAAGGCCCGTTTGTCTGATTTTTACATTCAAGACAAAGACACCTTTTTCAATCCTGCAACCAGAAGCCGAATTGTAAGTCAATATAAATATTTTTCTTTTCTGTCTCCAAACCCACACAAAGATATTTGTTTATTTCTCTTTTTTCAATTGCAACAACACAAATACCGTTGCCAGTAACAACCTTCCTGAAATGTTAGAAATGTACTATAGGGAACAATCCTACATTCACGAGGAGACTGACTGGATGATCTGATAGGATGAAATTCCAAAACTTTATCCAACTTGGGTTCCACTTATACCCCAAAATAGAGCTTAAGTGGAACTTAAATGGAACAATGGCCTTGTACAGTGAATTTTATCTAGATAACTTACCCCTATTTAATGTCTATGATTCTGTGGTGACAAAGTTCTAGTTTACATTGCTCACTTACAAATTGAAACGGATACAGGGCATTTTGGTTTTTTTTCAGGTTTACTTTATTCTTTCCCGTGTGGAATATGCAGTAAGAGACAATGTGAAAAAGTTTGGTATTAACAAACTCCTAGACTCTGGGATCTACAAAGCAGCGTTTCCTCTTCATGATGTAAGTCAAATTCTTGGAAAAGGTATCTTAGTTGTGAATAAATTTGCATGCTGATTGAAGGCATTTGTATGATTCCTATAGCAAAATATGCAAGGCATTGATTTTATTTGTTCACTGACTGTCCTATGTAGAGAGAATGGCTGGAAGAAAATTTTCCTTCAGACTGTTTTTAGGGGAATATTGATTATCAAATAAAAAGTTTTTCGCAAGTGTCTTTTGACAAAAGATTTCAATTTTTCTTTGAAAAACCAAACACTCAGAAATTGACATATTTTCTTCTGGAAATGCTGTTGAGATGCCTGCTGGGAGTTGAATGTATTTCAGTTGCCTCATGTCCCTATTCTATGGGCCAGGCTCTCCTGCAAGACTGTATTGTCTGTGATGCTCCATGACCAGAAATTCCCAGAATGCACCACTTCCTCTTTCCAGAAGGGAAAGCCATATGTTCGCACTCATTGTCTGTCTTGTTGCATTGTAGAATGCGAATGGAAAAACCCCACTAAAATTCTTAATACAAGTTCACATTTTCACCAAATACATTTATAACCAACTTAGCAAAGAAACAAAGGAATACTTCCCGCTGCAGCCTCTTTTAAAACAGATGCTGGAAGTCCTGCATTTTTTCCTCCATAGTTTTCAGACTTCATTGTAGTATACCGTTCTCCCGAAGGAAAGCATCTGATAGTATATGAGAGGTGCCCACAGTCTGTTTAAATTAAATCTCATTCTTTAATTATAACTAACGCTTTTTTATTTATTCTCCCAATCCTAGGCCATGAATGTGCAAAAAATGCATTTCTTGCATGTTTAAGTTTAAGCACATGAAGAAACCCATTAGCTTCAATGAGATGAGTCAAATGTGCATAAGCATTTGCAGGGCTCGCCGAACTGTGGTGAGCCCCGCTCGCCAGCCCGAACCCGGCTCTTCCGGGTTACAATCTACTCGCCCGTGGCGAGTAGATTGTATTATTTGTCGAGCCCTGAGCATTTGCAAGATTGGGGCCTTAATAACAAGCCTCTCTACTTTCACTGCTTTCTAGTCCTTTATTATAACTTGCAATGCAGCTTGGGCTAGTGGTTCTCAAACTTCACTGAACCGTGACCCCCTTCTGATAACAAATATGACTGACTACCTGACCCTAGGTGGGGTGGGAGGGGTTGCCATAGAGGCCAAGCCAAAGTGATCTGCCCCAGGCAGACGGGGGAGGGGAGCAGAGCCCAAGCAATACTGAAGCACTAAGAGATTACTCCTGCCACTGATCTCTCAAGTATAGCTCTACAAAGATACAATTTTACACAGCCAGTGGGGCTGCAATGGCACTGGTTGGTTCAGTTAGTCTGGTCATGTAAACAAGTTCATCTGCCCCTAAAGATAGAAATACCGAGAGTGATTATTCTAATGGGATAGTTTTTCCATATGCCATTGTCTTTTGCAGTCGAGATTCAATTGCCTGTCAGAGGACCCCAACTACCCTAATGAACGGTATCTTCTTTACAAGGAGTGGGCTCACCCCCGAAGTATTTACAAACTGCAGCCATTGGATCTTGTCAGGTGGGTGTACATATGACCAGTGCAATTCCAAAGAACCTAGGAATTTTCCCATTTTGGCACTTTGAAGATTCATGCCTAAATTCAGTGATACTCAGACCTCAGTGGTTCAGGGGCCAAATTAGAGATCAACAATACTCAAAATAGCCACAGTAGTGGCTGGCTACAATACTATATTTAAATAGTGCAAGAAGGGAAATATACACACATCCACACATGTCCACTATATATTTTAGAGCGTTTGTTTGCCTGTCTGTTTGTTTGGTCGAGGACTCCTCCTAAATAGTAAGAACTAAGGCCTCTCAATTTGGTCTGCAGCTTCCTCTTCTCCTGACTTAAAGCAAGGTCTGGGTTTGATTGTGCCATGCCAGAAGCCCTGGGAAAAGGACAGTTTTCCATAACCTGCAAAGGGAGGAGGTGCTGTTCTAAGGGACAAGATATGAGCGTGGCCACTGGGGGCAGTGAGCCCAAAGGGGAGAACTATTCTGCAGAGTGGCCACTAGAGGCAGCAGCCATTGTCAGCCCGTGGTCTGATCTCCCCACGGACAGAGGTTGTGCCAGCATCCCGCAGAGCAGCCTCTGTCCTCAGTGAGCCTAGGCCCATTGTGAACAGAGTCTGTGTCACAGAGTGCGGGAGATGGCTCCATGGGATCTGGTGGTCATGGGGTGCTGGCTTTTAAGCTGACTCCCCTCTGAGAACCAGTTCCTGCCTGTCCCCACTTCCCCTCCCCCACCTCTTTGGGAGGCAGTGGGGGGTGGGCAGGAGGCTCCGCAGGAGGCAATACGCGCAGCAGCCACTTTAAAAGCTGGCTTCCTACCAGCTTCCTACTGGCTTCTCCCCTTACTCTCCATGTTGCTGCCTCTCTATCAGAGGCACCAGCGCAGGAGTTGGGGGGAAAGGTGGCTCCGCAGGATCTGGTGCTTGTGGGGAGCCAGTTTAAAAGCTGACTCCTCACAAGCACCAGCTCCTGCCTCTGCCTCCTTTCTGCCTCTGATTCAGGGGCAGCGGAGGGGGAAGGAGATGCATGTGGATAGAATTAACTGATAAGCCCAGGTTTAATGGTTAATCATGTAGTCTACTACACTCTGAGATCCCTAGTGGGTGTAGGGAGAGAGAACTCACCCCTGGACCCTGACTTCTGCATCCCCAGACACATCCCTAAGGCCTTGCCCTGAAGGACCTCAGTCTGCTAGTAACAGAATAAAATTGTCTTTATTGGTTAATAACTAAGACTAGCTTATAATGAAATCAAACAGTGTTTTAATATCATGTGTTGCAAATAGCTGCAGGAGACACATTAAAGAGCCTCAGTCTGAGTAAACCTGCCTTAACTCTAATTACAGATATGTTTGCCCATATCTGCAGACATGTTTGAGCATGCTTTGTTTCTGATTTATAAGATACAGGTATGTGGCTTTGTAACCAATCAAAATTGAGCTTCTGTGAGAAGCAGAAATTACATGAAAACATAAAAAAAAATCATGTAAATTAACAGAAATAGTTAGCTGTTGTACTTCTGCAGTCACACAGTATAAAAATATGAATATAGAGTTTAGTCCTAAATATGTGGACTAGATAGGTGTCTGGGAAAGAACTGTGGGTTTGACTGCATTTTCCCCCCACAGGAAATATTATGGAGAGAAAATTGGAATATATTTTGCTTGGCTTGGATTTTACACTCACATGCTGATTGTGGCAGCAGTAGTAGGACTTGCCTGTTTTTTGTATGGATTCATAACAAAGGACAACTGCACATGGAGGTACCAGTTGGATAGTTCAAATGTATTTTCACTTAGACACAGTATGGTGAGTAGTGGGGAGGAACACCAAGGGAACACCAGCTAAAGAGGGGCAATGTAACCCTCACACATGACTTGTCCACCATTCCCAGCCTGGGCCCCACACACTCTCACCAGCCTTTCCCCATCCCATGTTACCTGATGGGGAGGGGGTTCTGTCCTCCTGCTGTGCTGGCTCCAGTCCCCCTGGCATGGGGAGCCACTAATGCACTTTCCCAGGCTACCTCCAGCCACACTGCCTGTCAGTCAGCCCAGGCAGGTCAGGAGAGTGCAGCCACTGTGCTGAGCATCCCTTGTAGCATGGCTGGAAGAGAAGAGGCTCTGGCCTCACCTCTTGCCTTCTGGCTGTCACCTACAGAGTTTGCTAGGCATAAAATAATGTGAACCTTGATAGAGATCCCAGGTTGAAGTTCATGGTGAATGAACATTGTGAAAAGGAAATGGCAAGCATATATCAGGGGTACAAGAACATTGCTGGGTCATGTAGTCAAAGGAACATGAAAGTCCTCCAACTCCCCCTTACTTCTAATTGCCTTGCATTCTGCTTTCTTATTCTGCATATTTCCTCCTCTGCTCTCTGTCCTCTTTTTGTAAGCAAACAAAGAGCCATCTCATGCCATCAGCTTCTAAACAGAACTCCCTACTGAAATCAGTGGGGAGTTCTGCTATAAATCTTTATGGCACTTTATGGCCTAAAGGCTTCACAAATCAGAATGTACTGAGACACATTTTATGTCAAATAAAAAGTCCATGGAATGAAAGGAGCAGATGAGCAAAATTACTAGAGCAGCTAAAACATTAGAAGAGCACCCCAAAATATATATCAGGTTTCTGCCTTCAGAACAAATAATGCATAAAAGGAAATTAAACAACCAGTCAAAGAAAATGACAATAAATCCTGGGGAGAAAATAAAAAAATGCAGCTCAACATCTGAAACAGAATCAAATCATTAATATCTTTTAGGAAACTAAAGCTACCATGGTCAGAAAGAGCTCACAAATGATCTAATCCAATATTTAGTCAATCAATGAAATGATTCCCATTGACTTTGGTGAGTAGTGGATCTATCTCTGCACAAACAAATATCAAGCTAATTGAAAAACAAACGTAGAGAATAAGAATAGCATCTGGATTGGTTCTGAAGTTAAAGATGTAATGTACAGGGCAAAAAAGTGATAGACAAATATGAATATTTCGAAGACTTATATTTAAGTTTCTGTTTTTTCGGTGTTTGTAGCCTGTCACTTCTATGTGAATTCTATGTGAATATAAGTTTCTGTTTTTTCGGTGTTTGTAGTCTGTCACTTCTATGTGAATTCACATATAATGTAAAAATGTAAAGAAAACGGTGAAAAGTCAAAACCTCAGCACAAGTTACTGTAATATGTCCATTTATGTTTGTTACTCCCTAAGGGAGAGTAAAAACTTTCTCATTAGGTGAAATTCACATATGAGTGGAGGGCCTGTTAAAAGGCACTGCTCAGAACTCAAGCCCTTTATTCCCCACTCGTATAGGAGAACAGAGTAGCAGAACAGGGAAAATTCTGCTCCCCCTTAACTCCTTGAAGAGAGACCTTGGTGGAAAAGGGGCTACTAGATCTCCACTTACGCAGATCACCACCTCCTCTTGTGCCCATTGTAGCTGTGTCTTCAGACATTTTGGCTACTACAAGTGGCTCTGCATCTCAATTTGATGTTGGCAGTATAGCGTCTATGATACTCCCTGACCGGAAGAGAATTCTCCATTTCAACTTCAAACATCTCCTACCACCATGCTCAGACTGAACACTAAATGGTGTATTTGCCCATTGTAAATCAGGTAAAAGCATCACCCTGAAATTCTGAAAATGTGAACAATGGGATTTTTTTAAGATCTCCAGTTTGTTCTCAACATGATTTGTTTTAGAGAATAGCACCAAGAATAAGGGGAGATAATTCCTTCCGTGCTTCATAATGTAATTTTCAGTATTTTGAAAACTAAGAGTGAAAGTGGAGAAGGCACATTGTCTGAAAGCAGTGCATTTAGCAATTTATTCTTCACTTCACCAAGTTATCACACCATGTACAAGCATTAAAGGTAGTTTGAGTTTCGTGCTTATGTGATTGATCCATTTTACTTTTAGCCAAGAAGTGTGTGATCCCAACATAGGCGGCAACATCATAATGTGCCCGCAGTGTGACAAGGAATGTACATACTGGAACCTCACTATCACCTGTGAATCCTCTAAGGTAACATGCCATTTATATCCTGCAAAAATGGGCTTCTAAGTTAGTTGCAATAGCCTTTCTCTTTCCTCTTACACCATCCATGGGGTAAAATAGCAGAACAGTTATTCCCTCACCAGTGCAAGGCCAGGTCTACACTAGGGGGCAATGTTGAACTAAGTTACACTAGTCCAGCAACGTGAATAGTGTAGCTGGTGTCAACGTACCTTAGATCGCGTTACTGTGGTGTCTCCACTGCAGGGAGTCGACAGGAGCGCAGTCAGTGGTCAATCTTTACTAGACTCACTAAATTGACTCCTGGGAGATTGATTCATGCCATGCCGTTCTCCCAGTAAGTGTAGACAAGGTCAAAGTTTAATGTTTCTTCTTCAGAGCAATATGAAAGAGACAAGAGAGAAACACGTGAAAAGGAAAATGTTGGAAGGAAAAGGCAACCCCAACTTGCTCTCGCTGTGTGTGTGTGTGTGTGTGTGTGTGTGTGTGTGTGTGTGTCTCAGAGAGAGAGAGTACTCTGTGTGTGAGTGAGAGAGAGAGAGATGTGAACTGAAATCCCTAGCACTGAAGTACTAGCTGTCCTCTTCCAGTACAGTGAATTGGTGGAACATTGATACTGTGGCATTTGTATACCCTTTTCCTGCATATTTGCATTGTAGGTTTAATGTAGTTTTTTGCATTTAATTCTTTGGTTTTGAACATTGAAAGAATAGTAGGAGGAAAGGTAGAGTTTGTTTAAACCAAAGCTCAAAACTAAAATCAAAATGTGCAACATTCTTTCCATATTCTAATCCCAGGTAGAAAAATGACTGATACATTATAACTAAAGCCTTTATTTTTTAATTCTTTACAGAAATTATGTATATTTGATAGCTTCGGAACACTAGTATTTGCAGTATTTATGGGAATATGGGGTAAGTAGATTTCAAGGTTTTGCTTTTTATCTACAGTTTTGTCATCTAATTTTGGGCATACCTACAGTATCAGCCAGAAGTGTAGCTAAATGTACAACTATTTCAGTTTCTAGTGTTCAGCAATATTACAAAGAGGAATTCACACAAAAAATGAAGCATGCCCAATAAGTGGGCAAAAAGAGGCCCATGGGCCGGATGTGGTTTGCTAGATGCTTTATGTACCTGCACATCCGCAGAGATGGCCGCTCGCAGCTCCTGTTGGCCGCAGTTTGCCGCGAACCCTGGCAAACTACGACTGAGCCACTTTTTGCCCATTCTTGATGTACACTAACTCTTTTTAGCATCATTAGGAGACAGGTTTTAGAACTTTTGGGGCAGATAGGAATGTTGCTTTTCAGTGTTGGCTTCACCCTTTTAGCCTTGGAGAAAAGCAAGAAAGAGGGATTAGAACTGCCCAATGTTAAGCCATCAGGAGCTACATGCTTAAATATGTCTGGCAAAGGAACTGTTTTTCTCCAAGGAATCTTGGAGCTGTCTATTCCCACTAGCAGCTGCGAGACTGAGGAAGGCGAAGGGAAAAGTAGAGCCATTTATTACACACTCCAGTAATTATGTCTTTCCTTCTTCATTTATGTAATTGATACTCTAAACATGCAGTAATTACAAGCACAAGGGATATCTCATGGCAAAAAACCTGCCTCTTTAATCAGGGGGTGCCCACTGACTGGTTCTATTCTGTACTAGATTCAGTGGACAAGACAAAGTTTATTTTTCCAGAGAGTGTCTTGTTTCATGCGACCTTGCACCACCAGAATTTTGTTAAGAAGGGGCCCGTGTTTACCTGCCAAATAGCAGTGATCACAGTATACACTACTTCCCAATTTCTTCATCGGCAAGATTCTGCTTTACCCATGTGTTGCTTACAAGCAGGAGTGCAGATGTGTCTGGGCTTCCTTCCCATTCTCCTCCTCTGACATTTGACAGTGTCACCCATGTTCTCACTGAGACACCGTCTCTTCTATCTCAAGCCTGGAAATGGATGTGATGGACAAGGCAGCGTGAGATGGCCACTTGGGTTTCAGGGATGTGAGGAACCAGGCCTGGAACCTCTCCCCTCTCTCCTCCTTCTAGAGATGGTGACCAGCTAGGACCTTTGCTCCTCCCTATCTCCTCCCTCCAGAGAGATGAGGAACAGGATCTTTCCTCCCACCCAACCCTTCCACCCGACAGACTGGGACTGTGAATTAGTAGTAGCAACATTGATCTATGGCCAAGGGAGAGGCCATTTGAACCTCTATTGGTTGGCCATATTTTCATGGTTGCTAATTGGCATTAACAGTAGCCCCTGAACCAAACTGCTTACTTGTTGTTGCTGATTAACAAATAATGTTGACTTGGAAGCTAGTCAACAGAGTTACAGAGTAACTTGTATGTCTTCAGCAGTGCTGCTTTAAGGGTAGAGAAGACAATCAATGTTTTAGAACAATATGTCAGCTTAATAAGGAAAGGTTAATATGCTTGCTACTATAAAACATATATTTTTATCTTTTAATTTGAACTTAATATACAGTGCTTTAAAGTAATGATTTCTTTAAAATAATTAAGTTAAATGTGATTCTTTTAAGAATGTTTCAAAGGTGTACTATGCTCAAGATACCAGTAGGGAATTTTAAACATCAAAATTAGAGTAGCTTGATGATAATTTGATCTTTTTTCCCCCCCGCTGGCCCAACAGTTAACTTATTTGTAATGTGTCTTATAATAACAAATTTTTTTTTATTTTTCTTTTTTGAAATGTTGTTCCAAAAATGAAAAGTTAAACTGCATAACTACAGTAATGCCTACAAGGGTCTATTAGTATTATTATTATAAACTTATGATGTAAGAAGCTGAATTGTCTTATAGCAATTCCATCAAAATTGTACTGAATCCAAGTGAGCCATGGCCCTGATGCCATTTCATTTGTAATTTTCATGTATAGTAAAACTCCAGTTGTTCGGCATCCAGTGGTCTGGCACTCCCAATAGTCCGGCACCAACTGGAACCCGAAGTGCTCTGGCCAGCCGGACAATTGAAGCTGCTCTGCCTCCAGCTTCCCCAAGTCCGCCATTGGTCAGTTTCAGCAGCGGTGGACTTGGGGAAGCCGTGGGGCAGAGCACCCCAGCTGCCCTGCCTCTGCCTTCCCCAAGTCCGCTGCTGCTCAAACTGACCAGCGGCAGACTTGG